ACACTGCCTTCAGCGCCACATGCAGCGTGGAGTGCTGGCCTGGGCGCTGTTCGACGATTGTTTTATTTTATAACATCTCGATCCCCCCGAGCCTTTTATATATCTAATTTACATGACCCACACCATTCTACCTATAATTTCTATGTCTACAAAGAAAATGCAAACTCTAGTCTACTCTAAAAAATATTTAGAAAGCTAAGCTATGAAAGCAATAAAAATTGAGTTGCCTCCCAACAAGCACCTAATTTAACGTCGCGGCACGACGCAGGATCTTGCTTACTCATCAGCGAGTACAACCTTGGTCTTCTCACGAGCAATTATTCCTCCCCAATAGTGCTTGACTCTGTGTCCATTCACTAAAAATTTTATGTCAGCATTTAACACGCGCAGCTCAATCGCACCATAAGGAGTGACTCTCACCACCTCAAACGGGCCTGACCATCTCGATTTTAACTTCCTAGGAAACAACCTTAGCCTAGAATTGAACAATAATACTTGTTGGCCTGGCTCAAAGTGACGTGGCTTGATACACTTTTCATGCCATCTTTTTGTCTTCTCTTTGTAAAGCTTAGCATTTTCATAAGAGTGCAGCCTGAACTCATCTAACTCATTCAACTGCAAGAGTCTTTTCTCGCCCGCGGCTTCAAGGTCCATATTCAACTTCTTAACGGCCCAGTACGCTTTGTGTTCAAGTTCAACAGGCAAATGACATGCCTTTCCATAAACAAGCTTATAAGGCGATGCCCCAATTGGCATTTTGTATGCCACTCTATATGCCCACAAGGCATCATCTAACTTTGCAGCCTAATCCTTCCTATTCACACTCACCGTCTTCTATAATATTTGCTTTATTTCTCTTTTAGACACCTCAGCTTGTCCACTTGTCTGAGGATGATATGCAGTAGCAACTCTATGGCGGACTCCATATTTAGCTAGAAGGTTATTCAATAACCGATTGCAAAAATGTGTCCCTTCATCACTAATCAAAGCACGTGGAGTCCCAAACCTCAAGAATATGTTCTTTTTCACAAATGCAGCTACCACCATGGCATCATTTGTTGGCAATGCGATCCTATGGTGATCCGTTGGGCCTTTCGAACATTAGCTGCCCTTTCCAAGGTTTAAGCCTTAGCAATTTCAGTTTGCTGCTGCCAATCCTTAGCAAACTTGTAAGAAGGTGGCTCCTTCAGGTGTAGCTGGCCACAACCTTGTGGGGAGCCAAAGGTTGTTGGCCTATCGCTAACTCGAACAGATAGATGCAGAGTATTTTTGCAACTTTTAGCAGAATTTTGCTACGTCCAGCAGCTGCACCCGGTTGGCACTCACAAAGTGCCCCACGGAGCGGTACTCATCCAATAACGCATTGATCATTTCGGCCGTCTGCCCTAACTGAAATGGGGATGAAGACTCGTGGAGAAGTTCAGCTTTGATTTGACCCCAAGAGTTAACGTAACCACTCAAACAACTACGAGTGCTCCCAAGACAATGAGACGCATGCGCTATACCGTCGAGTATTGCTTGCGAAGCAACCACAACTCGTTGTAGGTCCTCTCCAACCATTACAGTCGAGTAGTTTTCACTCCTTCCCCAATGCCAATAGTCACATGAGTTCTCCTAAATCAACACATTTTACCGCCTTGACGTCTTGGGTTGGGAAGGATACGACAGGCTCAATTTCAAGCTCAAGCACCTTTAGTGTTCCCGACCGCCTGCCTTTCGGCATATCAAGCCTGCTTTCCTCGATAAAAGCCCACAGAAGGGCCAAAGCACAACAAGCCTACTCATCATCAAAGCAAGTCTAAGCCCATGCAAAAAAGACCTCATTGTCATGGGAGCCCTTTCCTTACTCCTCAATATAGTCGCCGGTTCTATACATTAAGATTTGCAGCACCTATTCAGGAGCTGGGGAATCGACTTGCAAGGAAAATCTTGATTGAAAGTCCATATGTTTCTATTTTCCTCTATCTCTGGCTAGAAAAGAATGTATGCGTCAAACTTTGATGTCTCACTGGTTTAGATACGACGAGATAATCATCAGTGTTTGGGAATCTCAACTGGTTTTCATGTTGAAGACACGGGTTCGATTCCCGTAAGGGATAGGTACTCATTCCCGGTTGCTTTCAGTTAGTGTTCATTGTTGAGTGATCGCTAGCTATCTGGCTGGAAAAGATGGTCCGGAATATTCCTCTCTCCCAGCAAGCAAGACGAGATCAACACTTCTCTCAGTAATGGACTTCCTTTACTTCGTAACCTTACACTAGGCGGTGATAATTTAAAGGTTGTCACTGAGCATTCCTAGTCACACGGGAAAAGAGGTCAAATGGCAAGGGCATATGCACATTTGGCTCCTCGCAGAGTATAGCTCACATCCAAACATCTGATTGGGGAACGGGGCAACTCTACCCATTTTGACACATAGTCAACTGCTAGTAAAATGTATTTGTTTCCTCTGGACAATGGGAATGGTCCCATAAAATCTATCCCCCACACATCAAAAATCTCAACCTCCAGGATGTTATTCAAAGGCATCTCATGCCTTCTTGTGATTGTTCCTGTTCTCTGACAATGGTCACACTTCTTAACAAATGCATGGGCATCCTTGAATAATGTTGTCCAAAAGAAACCGGATTGTAGTACCTTTGCAGCTGTTCTATTGCCTCCATGATGGCCCCCATAGGATGATGCATGACAATCATACAACACTAATTCAACCTCATTTTCTGGGATACATCTCCTCATCAACTGATCAGCACACTGCTTGTACAAATACGGCTTATCCCAATAGTAGAAGTTCACATCATGTAGAAACCTCTTTCTAGTTTCAGATTTCATTTCAGGAGGAAGTACCCCCCCTCCCCCTCCCACCAGATAATTCACATAGTCCGCGTACCATGGGGGAGGGTCTTGGGTGAAAGCAAAAAGTTGCTCATCAGGAAATGCTTCTTTAATTTGTCCACCATCCTCCACGTGGTGGTGATTTTTCAGCCTTGATAGATGGTCAGCTACTTGGTTCTCTATGCCCTTTCGATCTCGTATTTCCATATCAAATTCCTGTAATAACATAACCCAGCGCATCAATCTTGCCTTAGATTCTTTTTTTGTAAATAGATACTTGATTGCTACATGATCGGTATAGACTATGACTTTAGTTTCCACTAAGTATGCCTGAAATTTCTCAAAGGCCCACACAACGGCCAACAACTCATTTCCGTGGTGGTGTAATTCAGTTGTGCATCATCAAGAGTCTTACTCGCATAGTAGATGGAATAAAGCATCTTGTCCTTCATCTGGCCTAGCACTGCCCCAATAGCCTGGTCACTCACATCACACATAAGTCCAAATGGTAAGGACTAATCTGGTGCCATAATAATGGGGGCAGTCACCAACTTCTTTTTGAGCTCTTCAAATGCCTTCAGGTAGGTGTCATCAAACTTGAAAGTTACATCCTTTTCAAGCAACCTGCACAAAGGAGTAGCAATTTTAGAAAAATCCTTAATAAAGCTCTGATATAATCCCGCATGTCCCAAGAAACTCCAGACACCCTTCACAGAAATGGGTGGAGGTAATTTTTCAATCGCCTCCACCTTCACCTTATCAACTTCAATGCCGCTCCTAGACACTCTGTTACCCAACACAATGCCTTCGTGCACCATAAAATGGCACTTTTCCCAATTCAATACCAGATTTGTTTCATCACAACAGGTTAACACCTTGCTCAAATTCTTCAAAAAATCATCATAAGAAGACCCAAATATAGAAAAATCATCCATAAAAACTTCCACAAAATTTTCCACCATATCGGTGAAGATAGCCATCATGCATCTCTGGAAAGTAGCTGGTGCATTACAAAGACCAAACGGCATTCGCTTGAAGGCGAAAGTGCCATAAGGGCAAGTAAAAGTGGTCTTTTCCTGATCCCCTGAGCATATGACAATCTGGTTGTACCTCAAATAACCATCAAGGAAGCAATAATATTCATGCCCCGCTAATCTATCCAATATTTGATCAATGAATGGAAGTGGGAAGTGGTCTTTGCGGGTTGCCTTGATGAGCCTTCTGCAATCAATGTAAACTCTCCATCCAGTCACAGTGCGAGTAGGAATTAGCTCATTTTTCTCATTCTCAACCACAATCATCCCTCCCTTTTTAGGCACACATTGCACTAGGCTTACCCAGTTGTTGTCAGAGATATGAAAGATGATACCTGCATCAAGCCACTTAATTACTTCCTTCTTCACGACTTCCTTCATGATGGGATTTAAACTCCTTTGCTGCTCAACACTGGGGCGGTGTCCATCTTCCAGAAAGATTTTATGCATGCAAAATGATGGACTGATTCCTTTGATGTCAGCAATTGTCATCTTTCTGGTGCAAAATGATTCCAGAAAGATTTTATGCTCGTGAAGTATTCTGAGCAATTTTTCTTCTTGCACATTAGTTAGGCTGGATGATATAATTACTGGCAGTGTTTCAGAGTTTCCCAAATAAGCATAGCGCAGATGCGTTGGAAGGGGCTTTAGCTCTAGCCTTGGAGCTTCTTCAAAATATAGCTTAGGAAGGATCATAGTAACATGCCTGTCCAACTCCTCAAATATCCCAAACCCATGGACATATTTGCATGACATATCAAGTACTTGCTCAGATTCGCCCATTATCTCATCTTCACTGTCTTCTTCATTCCCAATCAAAGCTCGTTCAAGAGGATTTATGGGGCTCATATAAGGCACCAATGACGTAGTATTGCTTTCCACTACAACAATCATGGATATATCTTCATAATGGGCTGGTAATCTGAGTGTTTTATACACGTTAAATACCTTCACTTGATCACCTACTCTCATTGTCATCTTTCCTTCGCATACATCAATAATAGCTCAGACCGTGGCTAAAAATGGACGCCCTAAAATAAATGGGACCTCCTGATCAGGCTCGTAGTCCAAGATAATAAAATTAGCAGGGAATATGAAAGAACCCACTTGAACTAACAAATCTTCAATCACTCATTCTGGATGAGCAAGGGTGTGATCAGCCAATTGTAAGATCACCGTTGTTGGGCGTGGCTTACCCAACCCCAACTGTCTGAAAACAGATAGTGACATCAAATTGATACTCGCTCCAATATCATACAAAGCTCGCCCGACTGCATGCTTACCAATTGAAATTTGGATAGTGAAACTACCCGGATCTTTGAATTTCTGAGGTAGCTTGCTTTGGATTCTAGAGCTACATTCCTCAGTGAGTGCTACAGTCTCGAATTTGGTCAACCTCCTCTTATTTTCCACTATGTCCTTGATGTATTTTGCATATTTGGGCACTTCTTGTAGGATATCTACTAGTGGAATATTGATTTGCACCTGCTTCAAAATATCAAGAAACTTTTTATACGTGGCATTATCCTTCACTTTCTGCAATCTTTGAGGGAACGAAGGTGGTGGCCTTGAAATTACTGGTGGAGGTTGCTCAGCCACTGCCTCTTCAGCTGGCTTCTCTAACTCCTTTGATTTTTCTGATTTTGACTCTATAGTGGTCGGCTTCTCATTAAAGGTCACTTGTTTTCTTTTTTTTGACTGGACTTCTTCTAATTGTCTCCCATTCCTCAATGACACAGCATTAATAGATTCCTTAGGATTAGCCTTAGTATCACTTGGAAGAGCTCCAACTGGTCGAGTATTTTGAGCACTAGCAAGTTGTCCCATTTGGCGCTCCAAATTTCTCATTGTTGTGGCTTGGGCCTGCTGGTCAGCCATCACTTTCTTTATCATCTCTGTTGTGTGGGCTTGCTATTCAGCCATCAATTTCTTCATCATTTCCTCAAGGTGACTTGGAGAGTTTGCATGTTGTTCAGCCTGAGGTGGTCTATATTGTTGTTGAGGTGCTTGTGGTCGGTATTGATTCTGATCACCTTAGTTTCCACCCCAAGAGAAGTTTGGGTGGTTCCTCCAGTTGGATTGTAAGTGTTCCCATACTGGTTTGTCTGGCCCCTATTTGCATTACCCACAAAACAGACAAACTCAGGATTAACTAGGCATAAGTCGCTCGTATGAACCTCTCCACATACTTCGCAAAACAATTGGACTTGTTGCACTGGCTAAGCTTGTTGCTTGTTAATAACCAAGGTCATCTGATTAACTTGGTTGGTCAATGTGGAAATATGCGCTGATAATGCCGAGACGACATCCAACTCGAGAACTCCTGCAGATTTTCGCACTGTGTGTATGCCCATCTCTCCCTACCAATCAGGATTTCTTTTGGAGAATTTGTTCAATAACGCATATATCTCATCTAAGCTTTTCTCTAACACTTGACCTCCAGCTGTAGTATCTACCACAATCTCTGTCTTAGGATGTAGCCCTTCTATGAAGGTATGAGCTAGCACTTTGTTTGTCTGATTGTGATGAGGACAGTCTCTGAGCAGCCCCTTGAACCTCTCCCAAGCTGAGTATAAAGACTCCCCCGCTTTCTGTTTGAAGACGATTATCTCACTTTTGTTCTTTGTAGTTTTGCCTGAAGGGAAGAACCTTGCCAAAAATTTTCTTTCCAGATCATTCCATGATGTAATAGAGTTAGTTGGTTCTGCCTTCAGCCATCACTTTGCTTCGCCCAACAGAGAGAACGGAAAAAGTATGAGCCTCACATAGACTGGAGTGACCCCGTTAGTGATGTAAGTATCACTAATCTCCAAGAAATTCAGGATATGCTGTTGTGGATCCTCGTGTGGAAGACCCATAAACTGCCCATTCGCATGAAGTTGCTGGATCATGCTCTGTTTCAGCTCAAAGTGCCTAGTGATTCTGGGCTTCACAATACTGGAGGTGACATTAGCAATGATGGGCATCGCCACCTCCTGAACAACCATGCATTGCTCCTCTGCCATGTTCACAAGAAATTGAACAAGTGCCTGAAGATTATTTGTGTCCCTTGCTTCTCTCAACCTCCTATGAAATGTTCTCTCAAGTTCAGGTTCAAAACCTTGAAGTCTATCCTCGCTTCTAACCCTTCGCATTCAATCAAAGTTCTTGAGAGCGTAGCAATAATCAAGTAACGTTAGACTTGACAAAATAAACAATTAAAGAAAAAACTAGAAAGTAGTCAATATCAAAGTCCCCGACAACGGCGCCAAAAACTTATTGCTCCCAAACACACACGCAAGTATACGTGGTCGTACAAGTAATAAAATAATAAGTCGAGTGTCGAACCCACAAATACTTGCATTAACTACCCACTAAATTCACCCAGATTGTTATTCAGTCGAGCCAATCCGAGTTCAAAAGTGTGATTATACTAAACAATAATTCTAACTAGTGACTAAATTATTAAGCAGCAAAATGATTGTTGTGTATTCAGTAAAGACAAATATTCCAGGGTTGTGATCGATTCAACAATCCTATTGTGTTCTAGTTAACTCTCCCTTTTATTCAATTCACTCGTGGTTGCTAATTAATCGAACAATTTCTCTCGTAGCCTTCTCCAGAATTACTACTCGCCTATTCAAAATAGATTAACGCCTATATTCCTATAAAATCAATCTATTAAGAATGCACTAAGATTATGATATTTAATCAAGCACGGTGACCAGATATATTCCTATCCTAACCACAAATACCCC